GGTCGTGACCCCCCTTGGGTTAATTTGTAACAATGAAGGTGCATTCTACAGATCAGATATTTACACTGTGATTCATAACAGTGGCAATATTGCATTATGAAGTAGCAATGAAAATAATTTTACGGTTGGGGGTCACCACAGCATGAGGAACTGTATTGAAGGGTCGCAGCATCAGGAAGGTTGAGAACCACGGCTCTAACTCTATGGATTAAGTTCATTGTTCCATTTTTGGTTTATTTGTTCTTGCTTTCTCTAGGAATAAGATACTTTCTGCTAAAGGACGGGCTCCTGGTGTCCCTCCCAGTGGACCCACACTCCTGGAGTCAAGTGAGCCTTCCGCTAGGAGCCACTATGTCTGGCTAAAGTCCAGGGTCACTGGAAGATTTCCCTTAATGTTTTCTTTGTGTTGTTGAAATCTTGTCAGATTTCTTAGAGAACAGTGTCTACTGCCGTCAGCCCTCAGCTCTGTGGGGCTCTAGATAGTCCGGTTCTTTTAGAAATTGTTTGTGGTTGGGGATCTGATATTTTCCAGAACTTCTGCTGCCTTGATTTGTTTTTTGTGCTCTTTATCTTCCATCTAAGCTTTTTGTTTTTCACTCCATTGTTCCCCTAAAACGTATTCATTTTTATTTGTTTGGCCAGGATCATGGAGCCCTCATTCTGTTATTAGAGTGTATGGCGTAGGGTCTTGCTTTGAGTGTCGTGAAAGACAGTTGTGAGCCTAGTTAATGCCTTCCGATGGCTGATGGGGGATCCACCAGCATCTTCCCAGGGAGGAGGGCTGTGTTTACATACACGGTTGACTACCTCAGAATCTTAGGGCCTCCTTTTTTCCTGGTAAGGGTGTAGAAGCCCCAGTACTGGCTAACTGTTTAGAATGCCTTCCTACCGAGTTATCATGTGTGACCACATGTGCCCTTCAGTCCTGGGTTTTGGAAGTGTTCCAGTATTTCCCAGATCTAGTTAGCTCACATACAGGTCTCTGTTTTTTTTATCTGTTTACCAATGGAAATAAACAAGTGTATGTCAGTCTCTGTAAATAGCTGCATACTTAGAAGAAATACATATATGTAATAATACTCCTTTTTAATTAAAACCTATAAAGATGCCGAAAGTCATAATTATTCACTCACTTTTGTATTAAAATACCTTTAAAAAGATGTATTCAGTTTATGTATGTGACTGTTTTACCTGAATGTATGTGTGTATATACTATGCCCATGCCTGGTGCCTGAGGAGGTCAGGAAGAGTGTTAGATCCCCTGGAATGGGAGTTACAGATGGCTGTGAAACACCCTGTGGGTGTGGGAACTAACCTGGGTCCTCTGGAAGAGCAACAAGTGCTCTTAACTGCGGAGCCATCTCTCCAGCCCCCTTTTGGTTGTGAGCTTAGTCTTCAACAACTGGGCCATCTCCAGCCCCATAATACCTCTTCGTAACAGCTTACGGTAACTTTCCCTTTTGAGAGGTGTTGTGAATTCAAGCCTTACACAAACTAATGACTGCAGACACACTTGGTATCTACCTTCCAATCCTCCCAACCTTCTTGCGTGGGTCAAGCAGCTTGTGGTTATTTGGGTGTCTGTCCTTGTTCTGCATTCAGGGATGATTCCTGATGAGGTTGAAAGAATCGTGGTGTTTCTATTTCTCTTTTCCACTTAATGGTCTGGGCACTCAGTTTTGGCTAAAAAATATTAACATGAACATTGTCAGAATAAAAATGGAGTTTTGTGTCTTTTTCCCTGCCAAACCCTAACTAAATGAAGTTTTGAGGCCATGGAGGGAGAAGGCCCAGGACTGTTGGCTTGTCACAGGAACTCTGCTGAATGATGACCTTACTCTGGCAGCCGCTGGCTCCACCTGTGACTGAAGCAACTCTTCTCAGAGTCTTTGTTTTAAATAACTCGTGTAGCGCTCTCCATTTGCTCTTTAAAAACCTGTGTCTCATATAAACACTGTTGAATAATAGCTTGTCTTCTCCGTCTCTGTCTCCATGGCTCTGCCTCTGGTTCCCTGTGGCTTGCGTGTGGAAACTGCCATCCCTGGAGTTCCTGAGAAAGCTCTTTAGAGAGCCGCTTTCTCTGTTCCTCACTTTAGGGTGACAAGAAGCAGCTGGATGGTTTCTGAAGCAGCTTTCCTGGCTCTTAAACAAGGGGCACAGGAGGAAACGGTCCTTCTCCCACTGGATGCTGATGCGTCCGTGTGGGATTCCTGGAACGCTAGCAGTCTTTTTACTCTCCATGGACACAGCTAAGGAGGAAGTCTATGGACCCAGCTCTTAAAGAGTGTCACAATATTCCTAATGTGTGAGTTGTCTCACAAATCACACAGAAATAGACTGAGACCCAATGGGAAAGTGGGAAATCCAGTTCACAGAAAATAAAATACTAGGTCATATTTATATTATTTATTTATTTTGATTTCTTAGACAGGGTTTCTCTGTGTAGCTCTGGCTGTCCTGGAACTCACTCTGTAGACCAGACTGGCCTTGAACTCAGAGATCTGCCTACCTCTGCCTCCTGAGAGCTGGGATTAAAGGAGTATGCCACCATGCCTGGCTTTAGGCCATATTTTTTTTAACCTACCAGATTATCTAATGTAAAAATGGTTGTCACACACCAATGACAAGAGTGAGGGAGAACAGACATTGTCCTACACCGCGTGCTCTTAGAACTGTAAGTCGGCACAGCCTTCTGTGGCAGGCAATTGTATTTCTTAGGTGCGAGTGCTTTGCCTGTGCACACACATGTCTCATGCTCACAGCGGTAAGATGGGATTGGATTCCCGGGAACTGGAGTTAACAGATGGCTGTGAGCGACCATGTGGGTGCTAGGAACCAAGCCAGGTCCCTTGCAGCAGAACAGGGGCTCTTAGCAGCTGAGCCATCTCTCCAGCCTGTGACAGGAGATTTTTAAATTTCTGCCAAAATTACATAGGCATTTGCCCTATAATTCCTTCCATCTCCAGGATTTTGTACCACTGATGTATTTGCCTGTGAGAAGTGATGTAAGTACTAGATTTATTGCTATTAGCAAAAAAAAAATAGTTAATGGAAGATTGCTAATAACTTGAATGTGTATTTATAAGGGGCTAGAAGACTATGCTACATCAAAAGAAGAGCACCCTTCAAAAATAAGATCTTTATGCATTAATGTGAAATAGTTTCCTGATTTATGTTAAAATGTGGAAAGAAGCAAATGCAGAGCAGAGCAGAAAGTGTATAAATTATGTTATCATGTGTGAGACAAAGACAGACATGGTGTTACAGCTGGGCCTTCTCGCGTAAGGAAAGGACACCAGGATGAGTCCCTGGTGTCCTTTATGAATGTGAAGTTGTTACTGAGCCCCGCATACCCAGCCAGGGACATGCACTTTTGTGACTACCAGTACAGCGGCAGCCCCGAGCTGAGTGAGGCAGGGGGTCCATGAAGGTAAAAACCACAGGCTTGGTGCCTCCCGTTGACGAAGCTGGCCATAGCTGTTAGCATGACTGAATAGGCACTTTTAATAAGAACAGGGCATAGCTGCATCACCATGGCGTCTGTCTTTGATCGGGAAACAGAAAGCCTTCCTGTTAACAGAACAGTGCAGGCTAGCAAACGTTCACATATGTCTGAGGGTGACGCTGACCTCAGATCAACTGGAGGTCAGGCCAGGACTTAGCGAAGACGCTATTCTCACTTCAGTGGGAGGTGTGTATATTAGCTTGGGAACGTGCACAGGACTGACAAACAGTGCCGACTGCTATTCATCACAGACATACCTCCATTGACTTCATTTGTTTAATTAGATTTATAATCTTCTGTGCCAGAATAGCAGCAAAGGTTATTTTATTACTCTTTAATAGTCACACGGCCCGAAAGTCATTTGGGGACCCATGTCTCCTCAGGAGGAAGGATTTATATATAATTGCATTTTCAGCTCAGTGGGTTCCAGGGGTCACAACAATAACAGAGTGAGCCATGCTGGGATGTGGTCTCGGCCTGGGAAGAGCTCCTGTTAGTGGGTGATCCAGACACACAGATGATCACAGTGCAGCATTAAGTGGGCATCCACAGAAGGGCCTCTGAGAGGGCAAGACTTGGGCAAGCTGCTTATCTCTGGGAGCAGGTGGAGAAGGCACTTCACAGAAAAGCCAGAGTCTCTTCAGGATTTGGAAGGCTGAGTAGAGTTGACCCAGAGCACAAGTTTGTCCAGCAAACAGCAGGCAGTGTATAGTGGTGGCTCTGGGCAACGCAGCAGGGCTTCAGCCCAGAAAGTAGCTGTGGGAGGTGGGGCAGGGGAGTGGGGGAGGGGAGGAGGCGAGTCAGGTTTGCAAGGGCTTTGAAGGCCAGGGAATCTGGGGTTTTATTTTGCGGACATCGGGAGGCAGAGGCTTTTAATCTAAAGGAATGAGCCCAGAGCCTGCCGTAGGATGGGCAGAGTGTACAGAGCTGGTGAAATTAATTGGGTGGCTAAAACACGCCTCTTTCAAACGCTGCAGAGGGCCTTCGTCCTGCCCTGCAACCTTAACATTGTCCTGGGGCGTGGGTGAACCAACTTGTGATTTATTAGAATGCGTGTGCGTGTGTGTGTGCGTGCGTGCGTGTGTGTGTGTAGGTGAGTGGCACTTCCTAGCCATCAGGGATTCCTTCCTCTAGAAGGACCTTCTCACTCTGCCTTCTTGCTGGACCGGATGTTGAGTCTTTCTTCCATGTTTTCTTTTCAAATCCCCATCTCCTTCACCCTCTTGTCTTCCTTTCACCAAAATGACTTGGGAGCTCTGCTTTGGCCAGGACCCCGCCTTTTTTTGGGTTGCAGCTAGGCTCCCCGCAGGTGGTGGGGGCGCCTGCGCGTGCCAAGGTGGGGTTGATCGGCAATGTGCCAAGGCGGGGTTGATTAGCAATATGCCACCTTCTGCTCAACCCTAAACAAGACTTCTGAAGGGGTGGGGCCTTGGCTCTCTTATTTAGCGCATCTACCCCTCTTGACTCTCAGAAGGGAGAAAACTTCATCTGCAAGATGGGCGTCTACCGCATCTGTATCTCCACTGGGTGCTCGATGTACGCGGGCACCAGAAACGAGGTCCACATGTGGCTGGTGGGGGAGCATGGGGAGGCGTCTCTCGGGAAGGTGCTACGACGACCCTGTCGGAACTCGGTGAGCTTCACGGAGCTGGGCCTAGGCTGGCCCCGGGGTCCAAAGCTAGAGAAATCCCAAGGAGCCCGGGTGCTGCTCCTTAACTCCGGGGCAGGCACTCACAGCGGAAAGCGCACGCAGAGCCCGCTCGAGGAGCGCTCAGTAACTTGGCTGCCGCCTGACCTCAAGGAGTGGGGTATTCCTGAGTGTTCCTTCTTTCGAAGAACTCTGCTGCACAGCGGTCAGTTGCCGGCTGTCCCAACCTCTCTACTTTTAGAAGTTAGAATTTCCCGTCTTCTCTGCAGATACTGGATCTCCGATCTTAGGGTGGAGTGGGTGGGAAGGAAGAAAGGTGGGCGGGTGGGTTTGGGGTGAAGCAATATACTGTGAAGTTCCCTGTTTATATGTGGCTGGTCTTGCTTCCCTTCCCTTCCCTCCCCTCCCCTCCCCGCTTTCCTCTTTTCTTTTCTGTTCTGTTCTTTTCTTTCCTTTCCTTTCCCTTTTCCTTTCCTTTCCTTTCTTTTCTTTTCTCTTCTCTTCTCTTCTTTTCTCTTTTCTTATGACTCTCCAGTTCTTCCAGATCTGGATGTTGTCTTACATTCACTTTAAAGGAAGATAAAGAAATGAGGCGCTTACTGGATCATCTCCCTCTCTTGGCCTTCATCTGACCAAGCATGGAGCAAGCTCAGTCAGTTCTATCCCCCAAACATTTTACCTGATGCTTGCACAGTCCTTGACCACCAACGAATGTCTGCTAGACCCGCTAGACCCCGAGGCACCTTGAGCTCTCCCTGTTCACGCCCCCTTTAAAACAGCCTGCCTGCTAAGGCCTCCCAATGTCTCCAGCTCTTCCCCTGTACTAACTGCCAAGACTGATTTACTCTGTGTCCCTCAGGATCTGGTCTACTGTGGCTCCCCAGCCACAGTGGGTCTCTGGGCCCGAGCTTCATGGCCCAGGTGCCGTGGAGGCTTGGGGGAGGGGCATGAAGATGCAGGCACAGGGGACAGCCAGGGCTGGCTATAGAAAGATGCTGGTCCTCTCAGACTCTACTCTCTCCCGGGACTCTGCCCAGTGTCTCTTCCCTGACCTCATTCTCTCTAACCGACCCACTCCTCAGTCCAGGTTTCTGCTTAGAGACCATCCTCTAGAAGTCCCGGCTCAGCCTAAGTGGAATTCCTATGGATCCTCTGCCTTGGTGGGGTCTCCCACCTCGCCTGCGTTCTCACTGGGCTTCAGGCAGGGTTTCAGCATCCCGCCTCACCCCCAGCCTTCACCCAGGGGGGGACAAAGGGAAGGAAGGAGTGTACCTTTTCATCTTCTGTCCCCAACGCTCGCTCTCACTCTTAGTTGAGGTGACAACCCAGAGAGGTGTCATGGGGCCCTGCCGGTGTGTGCTCCCTTTCTCTTCACTTTCCCTGTGGCCCCGTGGAAGCAGAACTCAGCCGGAAGACCCCATTCTCTGCCCCCTTGTGTTTATCTGCAGGAGGAGGAATTCCAGGTGGATGTGTCAGAATACCTGGGAGCACTGTTGTTCGTGAAAGTGCAAAAATGGCATTACCTTACGGATGACGCCTGGTTCTGCAACTGGATCTCCGTGAAGGGCCCTGGAGACCAAGGAGCAGAGTACAGGTTCCCCTGTTACCGATGGGTGCAGGGCACCAGCATCCTGAGCATTCCCGAGGGCACTGGTGAGCAGAGGGGTGGGGTGTGAAGAGGCATCAGAGTTGCGTGAGGAAGATGAGGCAGCGTGTGGGAGCTAGAGCCTGGAGGCTGGGGTTTTGTTGGTTGGTTTTAAAGAAATTGTTTAAGAGGAGTGTTGTTAGCGCTGGCCGGGGTGTCGCTGAGGCTCGGGGCGGGGGGCGGGGGGGGGGCATGAAGATGTAGGCACAGCAGGCAGCCAGGGCTGGCTGAAGAGGTACACCTGCAAGGGCTAGAGAGAGGCTCTCAGTAGACATCCCAGAGTGCCCCCTGCTCCACTTCCAGGCTGCACCGTGGTTGAAGACGCTCAAGGCCTGTTCAGGAAGCACAGAGAAGAGGAGCTGGAAGAGAGAAGGAGCCTGTACAAGTGAGCCTGAGCCGGGGGACCCACGGTGAGCGGCTCCCGCAGCGCCCGTGTCTGACGTCATTTCTGCCCCGCAGGTGGGGCAACTGGAAGGATGGCCCTATCCTGAACGTGGCGGCGACCAGCTTGTCTGACCTCCCTGCAGACGAGCGATTTCGAGAGGACAAAAGATTTGAATTCGAAGCTTCGCAGATTTTGGGGTAAGAGCAAGGGTGCCCGGTGTGAGGGGAGGGGAGCTGGTTTAGTCCATGGCACAGTCACGGTAATGTTTGGTTCTAAGTATAACTGTCGAGCCCTGTGCCCCATTCTCCCCTGAAGGAAAACAGATGTTCTTTTCAACTTTCCTCTAAATACTTTGACCTGCTGGAAAGACCTGGATGACTTCAAATGGGTTTTCAAGATTGGCCACACCAAGCTGGCTGGTTAGTTCACCTACCCCAACATTACTCCTACCCCCAAGCCCTTCCCAGTGCAGGGAGAGAGAGAAAACCGGGTTGGGAGGCCAGAGGCTTTTGTCTCTCTGGTAGTCTGGGTCAAGAAGGGATGGTTTGGTGGGTGTGGGAAGGACCAGGAACCTGGATCTTAGACACACTCATCTCCCATCCCCAGAACAGGTTCGGAGGTCCTGGAAAGAGGATGCTTTATTTGGGTACCAGTTTCTCAATGGTGCTAACCCCATGCTGCTGAGGCGGTCCACTGGTATTCCTTCCCGACTGGTGTTCCCTCCGGGGATGGAGGGGCTGCAGGCTCAGCTGCAAGAGGAGCTCGAGGTGGGACACTGGAGCCCTAGGGAGGCCGAGCAGGGAAGGGAGGTGGTGCAGTATGGGCTGTGGCTCTCAGGTTCCCTGTGGATTCAACTCCCTGCTGGTTGTCAGGAGGGCGCTCCTGCAGGAGAAATCCCAGACCAAAATGTAGTGCCCTGGTTTTCCTACCGCAGGAGAAGAGTGTATGGTGGAGGGTAGGAGTCTTAGGTGGGGAGGCCAGTAGAGGCCAGCTGAAAGTTGGGAAATGTGACCCGGTCCTAGAGGCCGTGGGTCCAGAGAGGTGCAGGGTAAGGGAATCCAGGTCAGGGCTGGTGTTGTTAATGAGGAACCAATACGGGATAATGACAATGTTCACGGGGCAAGACAGACTTGCATCTGGATTCTGGTTTTGCTGTGTGATTTTAAGTAAGATATCCCACTTCTCTGATCTGTTTCTGCAGAGTAACAGGCCAGTGGGAAACCACCCTGCCCCTGGCCTGTCCTTGAACCCAGGACTTAGCAATCCCCATGCCCGTGATTCAGGGTTAACGGCCAAGCAATACTTCTGGCCTTGTTCTTTTCCACCAGCTCACTGCACATGCTCCAAAGACCCTCTAAAAGCCCACCCCTCTGCTCAGCCCACTGTCATTACTGTTCCCACTCAGAAGCAACCGTCATTCTGTATTTCTCCCCCATAAATCTCTGTGAGGTTTGTTGCGTGGTATGACTTTGGGTATTTCCTGGCTCCCAATTGCCAAGATACCCTTGTGCTGGAGAGCCCTTTCAGGTCCTTTCAGGTTCCTTTCTTGTCATGTGGAGTAATTTAAATGGAATATATAAGAATTCCATGTGACAAGGCTAGGTAGAGCTACTTGCTGCCAAGCCCAGCACCCTTAGTTCGATCCCTGGAACCCATATGGTAAAAGGAGAGAACTACCTCACACAAGCTGGCCTCTGATCACCACACAGTGTCATGGCAAACATGTGCCCCCCCACACACAGCAAGCAAACAAATGTAATAAAAATGTAAAAATAAAAAAAAAGAAATGTCATGAGTTAATAAGGACAAGCGGTGTCAGGTGACTGATGGAGACAGGTCATTTTTCTTCTTACTCTTCTCCTTCTTGGGCGCCCAGGATGGGAAGAAGACTCTCCACACTGACAGAAGCCCCCACTTTCTCTCTCCATGTAGAAAGGCACTCTGTTTGAAGCCGATTTCTTCCTCCTGGATGGGATCAAGGCCAACGTCATCTTCTTCAGCCAGCAGTACCTGGCTGCCCCTCTAGTCATGCTGAAGCTGCAGCCTGATGGACAACTCTTGCCCATAGCCATCCAGGTGAGAGGACCTGGGGTCGGACCCTCGGGCGGCCTCCTCAGATGAGCCTGTTGTCCAAGTTCTCTCTCACTTCTCTGCAGTGCCCTTGCCCTAAGCACCCAGGAGGCACAAGAAGGGGAGATGAGGAGGCTTTGACTTGAAGGGGTGTGTGGCCTTGCTGGGGAGACAGACTAGTCAGCCTGTGTAAGCTTCGATGCCAAGGGTAGAACCAGTCCAGGAGGAGCCTGGGAGGAGTGTCAGGAGGATGGGTGGCCTCTCTCCCCAGAGCAGGGTGCACTCGGCAGAGAGGCTGAGGTAGAGAAGGCAGGAGATGTCTGTGGACTGCACCGGGATGAGACGGGCTGGCTAAGCTGAGCTCAGGAGGAGGAATGTGGGCCTCTGGGAAAGGGACTTCTCTACATTTTCAGTGTTGGAATGGATGGACAGAAGGGAGTTACCAGTGCTGGGATTAGGGTCTCAAGTTAAGGCTTCAGGGGGTGGTGGGCTGCCAGGTGAGCAGAAGCCATCGGGATGGAGAGGGAGCAGAGCCGAGGGAGACAGGAACGTGGGAGTCAGTCAGGTTTCCCCGGAAACGGGACAGTAAGGCAGGAAAGACAGCCGGATAGGCTTTGGTCCTGCCAATCTTGAGGTACTGAGGACACATACAAATCCTCTAGCTAGCAGCTGAAACCTGGAGACTCGGATCTTTGCGGGTAGTCGGTGTTGAAAGACGAGGGAGGGGTCAAGATTTCCGCACAAGTGTGGGATGGAGGAGACGGGAGTCACTGAGCCCCTGACGTGCGGCTCCTCACCCAGCACTCTTGTTCTGCTCCAGCTTGAACTGCCCAAAACTGGGTCCACCCCACCACCAATTTTCACACCCGAGGATCCTCCAGTGGACTGGCTCCTGGCCAAATGCTGGGTCCGTAGCTGTGACTTTCAGCTGCATGAGCTACAGTCTCACCTCCTGAGGGGACATTTGGTGGCTGAAGTCTTTTCTGTGGCCACCATGAGGTCCCTGCCTTCAGTGCATCCTGTTTTTAAGGTAACACCTTATTCATTTTTGTTCTGCCTGTCTCTCTGCCCATGACACATTCTTGCCCTGAAACATCCCTCTGTGACATCTCAGGGTTCAGGGAGATGAAAGAGCAAGGGAGTGTGAGGTAGTCTCCTCTACGTTTCAATGATATTAATTTCCAAGGGGAGTGATAAAGGTAATTCCCGAGGAAAGGGTGTAAAGATTGTATTCTTTTTATGTACAAAACATAGATAAACACACAGTACAATAATTGATGCAAATGACTTGGAGATTCCATCCAATCAGAGGAGACCATGCATATAACACTACATTGGATGTCTACACAGAACTAGTCTAGATGACATTGGTAACATCTGATCTTTGGGGATTTTTATCTCCGGTAAGAGAAAAAAAAAAAGACAATAATGATTGTATTCAACGCATGGGCTATGATGAAACAGTGTAGAGTCAAAGCAGGACCATGGGAGGGTGAGTTTCTTTTGCGTGATCAAGAAAGACTGTTAAAAGAGACAACACAGAGAACGGAAGCAGTATCAGAAAGCAGCAGGTGGATGCTGTGGCACCGGTCAGGTAGTGCAAATCAGCACATTGCCAGTGTTGAGGACCATGGAAACTCCTGGCCATGTCTCCCTGAAGACTGCAGCCTCACAGCCATGCTCTCCCTGGAGACTGCAGCCTCAAACCATGTCTCCCTGAAGACTGCAGCCTCACAGCCATGCTCTCCCTGAAGACTGCAGCCTCCCAGCCATGCTTTCCCTGGAGACTGCAGCCTCACAGCCATGCTCTCCCTGGAGACTGTAGCCTCACAGCCATGCTCTCCCTGGAGACTGTAGCCTCACAGCCATGCTCTCCCTGGAGACTGCAGCCTCACAGCCATGCTCTCCTTCCTTGTCAAACCTGTTTCCTGAAGGGACCTTACTCTTCTGACTTACTCAACCCACTCTTCTCCTTCTAGCTTCTGGTTCCTCACCTGCTCTACACCTTGGAAATTAACGTCCGGGCCAGGAATGATCTGATCTCAGCGAGAGGTTTTTTTGACAAGGTATGGGGACAGAAATGGGTTCTAGGTTCATTCTGTCCTCTGGCTTCAGGGCAGCTTGATTGGACTGAATCAGCCTGTCCTTGGTCCTTTAGGCAATGAGCACAGGTGGAGGGGGCCACCTGGATCTTCTCAAGCAAGCTAGAACCTTCCTGACCTACACCTCATTGTGCCCTCCTGATGACTTGGCTGAGCGGGGGCTCCTGGACGTCCAGTCTAGCTTCTATGCTAAAGATGCCCTGCGACTCTGGGACATCATAAATCGGTAAGGCTGACGGGACTGCAGGACAGGTATGAGTGCTGGTTCAGGTAGAGAAGACCAGGAGAACAGGAGATCTGTGCCTCGGCTGGGGGTGGACTCTGACCTGGCCATCTGACCAGGGAGTGGAGGGCTTCAGTGTGCTTGCCCTGCCTTTTGTTGGCAGGTATGTGGTGGGAATGTTTGATCTCTACTACAAGACTGATGAGGCTGTGAGAGCTGACTATGAGCTGCAGAGCTGGTGTCGAGAGATCACTGAAATTGGGCTGCAAGGTGCCCAGGACAGAGGTAACAGGGGTCCCCTCCCCTCCACATGAGAACTAAGACACAAGTTCTGAGACCTCTCCAGAACCCTCTCTACTTCTATGGAATCTTCCATAAGCATTTCAATCCTTAGGAAAACCCTCAAAGGCTTTTCTAGGTGCAGCAGGAAAAGCACTCATAAAAGTTCAACACTAACCTCACCTTGAAAAAAAGCGGACCTCCTTCAGAAGCCATCACCTGTCCATAGTTAGGGGGTGAAGACTCATGAATTCCTTCCCACTTTATTCTATACAGCTGACTTGTGTAGGCAACCAGCCATTGTTGAGTTCATGAGTACATCCATCTGTCCTGTCATGCCCAGGAGACACTGTTTTACTCCATCTTTACCTCGTTTTACTCTGTCTTCTCTTACCCTGGCTCTTACATACCAGCCCATCCGCTCTCTCTTTCACAATGATCTCCGAGCCTTGGGGTAGGGCTGTGATGTAGATGCCAGGGCTCCTCTCTTCCCTCACCACACCCACCCTCATGCCAGCTTGCACAAGCTCCCGGCATCCCTTCTCACTAGGCCTCACTTCTAGTGGTTCCTGTGGTGGCGTCACATGCTAACTGTTCACACCTCTTGTGGTGACATCACACGCCAACTGTTCACACCTCTTGTGGTGATGTCACATGCTAACTGTTCACACCTCTTGTGGTGACGTCACACGCTAACTGTTCATACCTCTTGTGGTGACATCACACGCCAACTGTTCACACCTCTTGTGGTGACGTCACATGCTAACTGTCCACACCTCTTGTGGTGATGTCACATGCTAACTGTTCACACCTCTTGTGGTGACGTCACACGCTAACTGTTCATACCTCTTGTGGTGACATCACACGCCAACTGTTCACACCTCTTGTGGTGACGTCACATGCTAACTGTTCACACCTCTTGTGGTGACGTCACATGCTAACTGTCCACACCTCTTGTGGTGACGTCACATGCTAACTGTTCACACCTCTTGTAGGGTTTCCCACCTCTCTACAGTCTCGGGCTCAGGCTTGCCACTTCATCACCATGTGCATCTTCACCTGCACCGCTCAGCACTCTTCTGTCCATCTAGGCCAGGTACATCCCAGAGGGAAGCTGCGGGAGTTTTGATCCTGTAGTGAGGGAGGGGGCGTGTGAGCATGTGGGCCAAGGGCCTTCCTGTTTAGCTGGCCTTGACCCCAGATCACTGTCTCTCCAGCTGGATTGGTTCTATTGGGTCCCTAACGCACCCTGTACCATGAGGCTGCCTCCACCCACCACCAAGGATGCGACAATGGAAAAGTTGATGGCCACATTGCCCAACCCTCATCAGTCTACTCTTCAGATAAATGTCATTTGGCTTCTGGGCAAACGCCAGGCTGTTATGGTGAGAGTCAATTATTTAGGGTCCCGAGGAAGGATTCAGAGGGGAAGCTATGTGCTCCAAACTGGTTGGGGTCACAGGTTCTAAAGCTGCTTTCCCTCCTGCACCCAGGTGCCCCTGGGCCAGCATTCAGAGGAATACTTTCAAAACCCTAAGGCCAAAGCTGTGCTGGAGAAATTCAGAGAGGAGCTGGTTGCCCTGGAAAAGGAAATTGAGATTCGTAATAAGAGCCTGGACATACCCTATGAGTACCTGCGGCCCAGCCTTGTGGAAAACAGCGTGGCCGTATGAGCATCTCCACCTTTTTGTTGTTTCAGTAGCCCCTATCCAAGCACAGCCCCACGCTTGAGTGGTTGCCGCCCCCCCCCCCCCCCCAAACCCCATCCTCTGCCCATGCGGGACCCTCCTCCTAGAGCCAGTTTTTCATTGTCTGCTGCAGGGAAAACATCTGCTTTGAATGCATTACTCAGGGGTGCCGCTCTTCAGCTATCCTTTCTTCTCTTCCGTCCCCATAAGGTAAAAAACAGCCATGCTCAGGAAAAGCACACCAGGAACACAAGAGGGTGATACTATACATCGTTGTACACCTTTTATGAATCAAATAGACATCAAGCCCAAGTAGAGTCTAATAACAACAGAAAAGATAAGGTTTGGACTAGTGATAGAAAAGAGCATGGATTGAACTATTTCAAATAAAACGTTGGCAAAGATTATAGAGCGTCCAGGTTGTCCTCTCTTTTTTTTTTTTTTCCGAGACAGGGTTTCTCTGTAGTTTTGCGCCTTTCCTGGAACTCACTTTGTAGACCAGGCTGGCCTCGAACTCACAGAGATCCTCCTGCCTCTGCCTCCCGAGTGCTGGGATTAAAGGCGTGCGCCACCATCGCCCAGCTGTCCTCTCTTTACCTGGGAGGATTTGGAAAAAAGTATAGCCATTAGCAATTGCCAAGTTATTTGAATACTCAAAATTTTCATTTCACAAATCACTTTGAAAATGTAAATGGAGGAAAACTGGTCAAACTTTTAAAATTGCTTCGGGCTGGAGATACTTGGTCTCGAGGATGAAGAGACATGTCTTCTATAAGATATTTTCCATTTGCTGGTTGGGAAGTGCCAAGTTAACACAAGTCTAGAAAACCCCACGAATCTCTTAGTACAGCACAATTTAATAACATCTAACCTTGGCATCAAGACGACATTTCGGGATTTTCTTTCTTCCTATGGCAACCTGTGTGTATTTTAAAACAAACTAACAGTACACATAAGGCCAAAGTGTTCCTGTAAGGAAAACAAAACTGCTTGACCCAGTTCTTAATTCCGTGGAAGACAGTATTTGAAACTTGGTCTGAGGCCGGGCGGTGGTGGCGCACGCCTTTAATCCCAGCACTCGGGAGGCAGAGGCCGGCGGATCTCTGTGAGTTCGAGGCCAGCCTGGGCTACCAAGTGAGTTCCAGGAAAAGGTGCAAAGCTACACAGAGAGACCCTGTCTCGGAAAAAAAAAAAAAAAAGAAACTTGGTCTGATCTGTGTGTGTGCCTGTGTGTTACTCGGGATGGAACCCAGAGCTTCCTCCACCTTCTTCAGCCCTTGGTCCGATTCTTGAAGGAAGAAGGGGAAGACTTGAGGGGTGGGGGTAGTGTGTAATGTTAGAATCTGTGAAAAATCTTCCAAGTCAGGAGAACATACTGTAGTTTCCACAGCAGAACTAGTCTGGCAAGTGTTGCAGGAGGGCTGGGGTGGTGCTAGGAGAAGCCGTGGGAAGGGGAGTGAGGACCATAAGGCCAGGAAAGCAAATGGTCTTTATGAAGCAGCCACGGGAGGATCTTAAGTAACGGCAGAACAGGGTCCTGAATGTGCCAAAATGCTAGCTTCTCACTGGGGACCTGCCCTCCTCAGAGGCCACACCCCCACTAGTCCTCGCTCCTCAGAAACCACACCCTTTTCCTTGGAGGCCTCTATCTCCCTGGAGCCCATGCCCTTCACCTGGGAGGCTATGCCCTGCTGCTTAGGGGCCACACCCTTCCCCTTGGGGCCACCACGTCTTTGGTTGCTTGCTCAATGCTTTTACATTCTTACAGTTTTCTCCTCAATCTCTGATAGAGAACAGCTCAAGTCTCCTTGCCATCTGGAAATGAACTTTGTAGACCCTCAGGTTTATGACAAAAGGCCTGGCCTTCATGGGGGCTGACACTGGAAGTCAGGCCCCTGAAGGTCCAGTGGTTGCTGAGTGGAAACTGAGGTCACGAGTTATGAGCTGCATTGCATACATGTGTGTAAACATGCATGCTGCAGCAGTGAAGGCCCACCTGTTGACTCTTTGTAATTCAGATGCCGCCGCTCTGTGCTGGCAGGCAGAAAGAGCTCAGCATATTAGCTATCCTGAAATTTTTATATTGGAAAGAGTCTTTTCTTCCTCTATTTCTACTGGGAAGAGGCTTCTTTCTTTTCTTTATTTTTCTTTTACAGGGTCTTTTAATCTTTAAGCTTAGTTTCAATATTTTTTCCCCCTTTTACCTGGAAAATCCTTTTCTCTTGATTGAAAAATTCTCCCTTTTCTATTGGGAAATTTCCTTTCATTTCCTTTCCATCCTTCTTCTCTGTTGGGAAGATTCCCTTTTTTATTTTCTTTCTTTCCCTTTTCTCTATTGAGAAAGGTCTTTTTTCTTGATTTATTTCCTGTCTCAGGAGCCATCCTATTTCTATCTTTAAAAATTGTGCAGTTACTGCTTTTTCTTTTGACAAGCATTTTAGCAACTGTACATTTTGTTGCGCCTGAGATGGGGAGTTTAAATGCCCCATGACCCTGCTAATCCTGGAGTCTTCTTACCCTGAGAGTGCTTCCCTCCAGTTCGTAAGATGACCAGCTCCTCTGTCCTTCTTCAGTGGATTCTTTGTCCTTCAAGTCACGTATTGGGCGCCATTTGTCACTGCCACGTTGGGTGCCAAATGTCTCGGATTGTGGCAGCGCAGGTGTGTTGGTTCATGTGGATCCGTGGAAAGAAGACTCAGAAGCATCTTAAGAATGTATCAAGACTTTCATGGCTGCGGTGGGGGGGGGGGGGTCCAGTCTCAAAGAACTGAAGCCTTTCCCTTTGCCCAGGGTATTTTTAGTTTCTCTCTATTTACAGTTTAGCCAGTTAATTTCCATATGCTCAAAACAACCTGAAAGGAGTTTCTAAAGATACAAGCCAAGTGCAAACGCCTCGATTTCTCAGGTACCACAGTTTTCTGGGTTTCCTGAACCAAGTTTTGCATAGTCCCTTGATCCTTGGGAGACTCCCAGACAAGATGGACATAGGGTGCTAAGAGAAACAAAAGGGTGGATTAAACAAAGGATGGATTAGGGCTTCTGCTGAGCTACTCTCTGGAGCCAGGCCAGGAGTAGCTCAGCAGAAACTCAGCCACAGTGGGTGGGCCTTCCCACCTCATTACACCCAATCGCAGGCATACTCAGAAGCCCTCTCTCAGGTAATTCTGGATCTCATCAAGTTGTCAACTGAAATTAGTCCTCACAGTCAGGCTTCTCAAATTTCCCTCTAATAGGGAAGGGTAAACAGCTAAAAAGAGTCAGTCTTTGAGCAGAAAATAACTTTCCTTGAAGTTATCTGGGGATAGCTGTTCTACATTCCAATGTTGGTTTAGCCTAAAGCATATGACAACATTCCTACTTCCTGTGAGAAGCAGAGAGACTTGATGGCAGTTTGGTCAAGTCAATAATGATTCACAACAGCTGAGATGTGGAGTCACCCTAACTACTGAGGCTTGAGAAGAACGGTATCTTCTCATTGAGGAAAATGGATGGTACTGGGGAACAGTGCGTTAGCAAAATAAGCTCGACTCCCTAAGATAAACACCACACCTTCCTTCTCACATTGGGTGCTAAAAAAAAAAAAAACGTTGACCTGGATCTAGATTAATGACTCCAGGAGGCTGGGGAGGCTGATGGGTGGAGGAACAGCAGGAGGCTGAATAGCAAGTACTAGAACATGGTGAAGATAGAGAGAATAAATGGTAGTTCTTCCTCACACAATGGAATGACTACTTCACAATGGTTTATTACATAGTTTATACATAATTAGAAGAGAAGAACTAGTGTAAGCAGGAGGTAACAATGAACTTAAGGAGATGTAAATGTTAACTCTCTTGCTTTGATCATTACACACCGAATACATATAATGAATTATTGGGGTAAACCACTTTAGCATATACAACTAAAACAATAAGTGGTTAAACATAAAATATTTTGTTCCAATTGAGCACAACAGTTCTTACATGATTTATAAGACAACCGAAGTGTTGAGGTATGGGTCTGGCTTTGTCCCACCAAACAAGTTTTATCTTGTTTTTATCCGTATTGGGGAGAGTGGTTCATTGCGGCCAGCCCTTTCCTGAATGCAGAGCGAGTGGGAGATACTTCTTTAACTTACATGGTCTCCAGGATCACAGGGGTAGGGGAAAGGTCAACATTGTCATACAGCCCCCATTTTAAGACAAATGAATCCCATTTGTCATCAGACACAGGCAATAGTAAACCTCTTGAATAGGGCAAGGAGGGGACTGAACAATTATCTCCTAAGGCTGGCATTCCTGGAGAATCAGTTGAGCTGTCTATCGCCAGAATGATATTTTTTGGAAGATCTTAGAAGTCAGGTTCCTGAGAGGAAGGCCTGGGAAGACAGAGAATAACTGCAAAGATCATGAAATAGAGTAAAACCAGGACTTGGAAGGCAGGCGGCAACTCAGTGGATATGAGGACATGGGGACTGAGGCATTCCAGACGGTGGTGAATAGCAATGGCAATCTGACAGATTTCTCGGTTGGGGATCTGAATTTTATTACTTAACAGGTTTAAGACTTATTTACTTTATGTATATGAGTGTTTTACCTGCATCTATGTATGTGCAACACATGCAGGCCTGGTGGCCAAGAGGGTCAGAAGAGAAGGCTGGATCCCCAGGACCTGGGGTTATAGGTGGGTGTGAGCTACCATGTGGGTGCTGGGTACCCACCCTGGGTCCTCTCAAAAGCAGCACATGCTCTTAACCACTGAGCCATCTCGCCAGCCCCCGTGAACTTTGTTGTTATGATGATGACACAGACATTAGAAATGGTTCAATGGCAGCTTCTTTTTATGACTGTAAGTGCCCCGGGAGATGCAAGAATCGTGTTAGCCGGGTGGTGGTAGCAGATCTCTGTGAGTTCAAGGCCAGCCTGATCTACAGAGATACAGAGAGCGTTCCAGAACAGCCAGGACTGTCATACAGAGAAACCCTGTCTTCAAAAACCAAAAAGCAA